TATATGTACAAGTTGCACTGTACGTGTCGCTGCACTTCCATTCGCATATATATATACAGTTACACACATAATAATAATACATCATATACAAATCCGCCCCACTCATGCCACAATGAGGGCCATCTGCCATGGTCCGTGCCATGGTCCGACCTGGTTCGACTCTGAACCAGCCAGTCCCCTGCCAGCTTTCTCTCCGCCACTTCGCTCCGCCTCTTCAGGAATCGATTTCACAAGCCTTGGAGCGAAGCGTGGAGCGACCCATCGAGCAAAACCGGGCAAAAGTGGACCAAAAGAATACAAAAGGGGCAAGTGTCAGGCATAGCACTGGCCAAGTTAGGTCGGTTGGGCCCTGAAAATTTGAAATATATATGTAGGGTGGAAACTGCGCATGGTTTGTGGTAAGAGGCTTTGGATGGCTCTTGCTTCGGCCGTCAAATGCTCCAAGAAGCTAAGAAGCTGTGGGTTAGTTCAAGCAACTGCTGACCATGGCAGCTAGGGCATACTCTAGCCAATCTGAGCCGAGCAGGGCTGGCGAAGCACAACCATGCAAGTCCTAAGCATGCTGGACGCTGCGTTTTGAATGTTTGACCTTTGAAGATGCTGAGCCAAACTGATCAAAAATTATCAAAGACCTGTTGTGAAGCTATCCTCAGCCAACCGCTAATCCAGCTCACACCACTCGGGACCTTAAGAAGCACCTCTAAGCAGTCCAAAGGTCAAGGTGGATCCCCAGATCTATGTTTTCTACCCGTTTCTACCAGATTCTATTCTGATTCAGGACTCCGTCCATCAGCCATACGCTGACATACCTTACCCCGCCTCATTGTAGCAATCAAACTCATCCATCGGCACATGGTATGGATTGAACGCGCTGCGCACCTGCACTTTTACAGGGACGACGCAAAGCAGTTCATGCGAAAGACATTTTTTGGGTGATTGGTGACGTGGTCCAAAATGGAGGACGCTCAGGCTCTAGGCATGCTATAGACACTATATAGACTATAGACGTGGTCAGGACGTGCTGGGCGGTTTTTTAACATGTTTTAACCAGGTTTGGCACCCCGGCCGGGTGACAAACGGTTTTTGAGACCCAGGCCGACTCATGGGTGAAGACCGCATCGTGTCCTCCGAACCTCACCGTGCGCACAGTCAACCTATACTAAGATTTAACAATCATTGACAGGAGTATAGAAAGGGACTGAGAGCACCAAATCTCCCTGATTGGTATTCAAGGATTCATGAATTATCTTGACCATGTTTATTTGGGCTGCCATTTCATGGCGCCAGGAGTGCTGGCCACTGGCCCTCACATAAAGTGTCCTTGAGAAAGCTCCCTGAGATTTGAGGGAATATTAGAATCAAATTAATTCTAATAGCTTCTTGTTACTAGTAGTAAGGCACTTGTTC